ATTAAGACTTTTTCATTTTGAATTCTTTTACATAGTTTTGAGAAAGTAGAAAAAGCCTCATTTTGTGTGCTAAAAATAATACCCATGTATATCTGGTATAATCATCAACACAAACAAGATCATACAATTTACCTCATAAACTTAATGTTCTAGATGGTCCAAATAAATCAATATGCAAGAGTTGAAGTGGTTAGTTGAAACAACATTTTTAGATTTAAAAGAAATTCTAATTTGTTTACCAAGTTGGCATGCATCACAATATTTGTCTTTTTCAAAACTAATTTTAGGCAAACCAATGACTAACTCATTTTTTAAAAGTTTTGAAATTAAATCTAAATGAGCATGTCCTAATCTTCTATGTCATAATCAACCAGTTTCATTTATAGCAGATAAGCATTTAACATTAAAATGAGAAGATAAGTTATGTAAATCAAACACATACACATTTTCATGCTTATGTCCTACAAACAAAGTTTTATTATCTTTGGTGTTCTCAACTGTAAGTGAGTTTTCTCAAAAATAACTCTATTATATTTATCACATAATTTACTAATGCTAAGAAAGTTATGTTTAAACTTTCAACAAGTAAAACATTTTCTATAATAGGAAAATGATTTTTACCATTACTACCTACACCAATGATTTTTCCTTTACTATTGTCGCCGAAGGTTACATAGCCGCCATCCTTTGACTGAAGTGTAGCGAACGTAGCTTTATTTCCGGTTATGTGCCTCGAATATGCACTGTTGAGATACTATCTATCATTACTGGATTTTGTTTTGAAACATACCTACAAAAATTTGATTTTTCTATTGGTACCCATATTTTCTAATCATCATCTCCAAATGCCATTAGGCATAGGTTGGCAACTTCATTATTATTGTCATCATTTTCTAAGTCACTTTTGTCGCTATCTCCTAATGCAGCAATCATGCTCTTCTTTTCTCTTTTTTGTATTGTTTCTTGATTTCCGAACAATCGACCTTGATGTGACCGGGTTTGTTATATTCATAACAAGGGATTTCAGTTTTTTTATTATTTTTTCCTTTGTTAAAATCTCTTTTAAAAAATATTCTTCCTCTTTGTTGCTTTTTCATAAATTTATGGAACCTCCTTGTAAAGAAGGCCATTTCTTTATCATCAAATTTTGAATTATCTCCATCCTCCTCTTCACGAGTAGCAGTGGTTTTAAAAGCTATTCCCTTCTTTTTCTTGTTATCTTCTTCTTCTTCTTCTTCTTCTTCTTCTTCTTCTTCTTCTTTTTCATCTATTTCTTTCATGATGAGCTCATGTGTGAGAAGAGAACCCATCAGTTCGTCTAGACTTAATTTTGATAAGTACTTGGTTTCTGTGATGACAATGACTTTTGTCTCCCAACTCTTAGGTAATACCTGAGTACTTTTCTTACAATTTCAACATTAGTATACATTTTACCAAGAGATGTTAAACCATTTATAATATCGGTAAAATGAGTAAACATTTGAGTAATAGTTTCATCAGATTTGATTTTAAAAAGCTCATAGTTATGAACTAGCAAACTAACTTTAGACTCTTTAACTTGGTTTGTTCTCTCATGAGCTACAATGAGTTTGTCCCAAATTTCTTTTACTGTCTTACAAGTGAAAATTCTATTGAACTCATTGGCATCTAAGGTACAATACAACATATTTGTAGCTTTAATATTGGCTTAAGCAATTATCGTATCAGCTTTCGTCCACTCATCTTCAGGTTTTGGTATCTTTTGGCCATCTATGCTTTTGGTAAGGGATTTTGGACCATTACAAATGATTTTTCAGCACTCATAATCATTAGATTATATGTGTATGGTCATTCTAGTTTTCCAATAACTAAAGTTTGTGCTGCTAAACAATGGTGGACTATTGGATGCTTGTCCCTCAGGTAATGAATAACTAGGAGTTGTCATAATCTACTCTAAGCCGATTAAGTCACACAAAAACTAGAGTCATTGCTCTGATACCAATTGTTATCTTAGGTAGGCAAACCAAGAAGAGGGTAAATTGGATTATTAAAAATAATTTCACAATATTAAATATAATAATCGAAATATCAGAATTTAAATAAACAAAGAACAAAACAATAATAATAAATATAAAAATAAAAGAGATTGTGAGAGAAAACAAACATAGCGATTTATAGTGGTTTAGCATACCAGGCCTATGTCCACTCCTCAAGGATCATTCTCGAGAAGTTCTTCACCATGAAATGAATCAATACACCACCAAAACTTCACCGAGCTTGTGGATTTTACACATGTCTTACTCTTATCTGTTGAGCCTCACTCAACAATAAATGTCTCTCATTCATAAAATTATCTCACAAAATATTTAATAAAGATAAGAGGTATTTCAACCATCTTTTACAATGATTGTCTCTCAAAGAGTAAGTATGAAAATGTAAGAATAAGGACAACACTCAGATTTCAAAGTGTAAGAGCAGAGTGCAAAATACAATCAAAATTTATGAATGCACATATGTTCTCTCTTTAAGTTCCTTAATATTTTTCCAAGCAAAATGCTTCTATTTATACCCAAAAACATACTCGTTGGAAGAGGCAAATGCTCCTTTGACAGATCACGAGGCATCTCTTTTTAACATTTGCAGCACGTGGCACCATTTTCTTTTGTCAAAATTTGCGATTAGAGATTTGAATCAAACAAATCCACCACCATGTGGGTTTTGACTAATATTATATATATAAATATAATATAAGTGTACTTTTAAGAGATGCCCACCCCCACATGAATATATTTTTGCAAAATCATATGCCAACATGCATACATGCAATGCACACATACATTCAAACATAAAAAGTATGATTTGTCATGAGACACCACTTGAGTATGTATCTCTTTTTCTTTTAAATTATATGTATTTAATATATATAATATATTAAAAAAAATGCACAATATAATCAAATATTTTTGTAACTGGTGCAGTATATTTTGTGTCAAATGATTGTAAAATATATATGCTAAAAATCATGATAAATCTAATATATTTAAGACACCATCAAAATCAAATAATATGATTAACAATAACTCTGGTAGCATTACCATCCTATAGAGATCTGAGTGCTCAAGAGATTTTTAGATCGCAAAATCGAATCTAATTCATATCTCAGCCATTAAGAATGGTCTCTCGTGGTAGATTCTTGAAGGTTGGCGAAGCCCTAAAGGTCGGCTACTTCGCTTTCGGTCAGAGGTTTTGAACCTTTTTTATCCATAGAGCCATTGCTACTTTGATTTTGCTTTGCTTTGCTTTAAAAACACACATAGAGAGAGAGAGAGAGAGAGAGAGATGGATTTAGAAGAAATTTGATGTCTGTAATTACGAGTAATGGATCTGAGGGCCTTAGCCTAAAAAAAATATTGTAAATCTCTCCCCCTAGCAAATTTGATGTCGGTAGTTACGAGTAATGGATCTAAGGACAATAGCCTAAAAAAAATATTGTAAATCTCTCCCACTAGCAAAAGTTGAAAAGGAAGGCTAGATTAATTTTTTCAAATAAAAAAGATTAACGTTAGAGACCCATATTTTTAGACCCACAAAGCCATCGGCAAGGGAGTGAGGCCTTATATGATTGGATGTGTAACAAATTATAAGTTGACATATATGATAGCGCATCATTATAGGTACAATTGTAAAAATATTTTGTGAGTCTTCAATATTTTTTAATAAAAAATTAGTAATAAGATAAAAATTAGACACACATATGAGACTCATATCTATGTGAAATATTTAGTTAATATTTCAAGAGTGTTTGGGGTGCACTATAAAACTTTTTATTTTTATTTTTATCTTTTGAGTTATATCATTTCTCTATTTTTTTTACACATTTTCTATAAAAAAAATATATAGTTAATTAAATTGTTTGAAATGTTTTTTTTTTGGTAAACAAATTGTTTGAAATGTTGAGCACATTTTTCTACCTAAAATAATCAAATAGCTAAAAAAAAAAAAATAGGGCTGCAGTCCACCATTAGGTGACTCTATTTACGCACCATATTTAGTCTCAAGGCATACCACTACTCAATTCACACATTTAATATTTTAAAAAAACATACAGCTTATTTGGTTCTGATTTTCAAAAAATAGTTTTTCAGAAAATTTTATTTTTTTATTTTATGTATTTTAATATTTTCAATGAATTTTTTTAATGTTTTAAACAATTTTATTTTTTAATTTTTAGACACACCTAACATAAATACACTTAAAAAATATAATATTTATGAAATTTTTTTTAAAAAATACACTAAATACCAAAAAATATAAAAAAAATGAAAATTCAATACAATTTTCATATTTTTGTGTATTTTTAATTTTTAAAAATATTTTTCATAAATATTATATTTTTTAAATGTATTTATGTTAGATGTGTCTAAAAATTTTAAAAAAATTATTAAAATATTAAAAAAATTATTAAAAATATTAAGATACGAAAAATGAAAAAGTAAAATTTTTAAAAAATTAAAATCAAATAAATTATATATTTTTTTTAAATTATTAAAAGTGTAAACGAGTAATGGTGCATGTGTTGAGACCACGTGTGTTGAGACCAAATGTGTTGCATAAATAGAGCTGCCCTCCACCACTCACCCTAGTCACAGTCCACTGCCGCCACCTCCATCGCCTGCGCCGGAACGGGAGCGCTAACCCTATCCGTCGCCACCACCGCGATCCTTCTTCTAACCTCGCGACTCTGTCTGACTCGATATCGCTCTCTGTCTCTCTCGCTCACCGTGGTCGTAATTCCAGCGGTATCTCTCTCTCTCTCTCGCTCTCTCTCTCTCTCTCTCTCTCTCTCTCTCTCTCTCTGTCTTCTCAAACTTGATTAGTTGCTTGTTTCTCTGTAATTTTCATCAAATAAAATCATAATGCATCCAACTCAAAGCTAAATTGACCTTAAGGCTGTGTTTGGTTCATGGATTTGGGGAGAGATTTGGAAAGGGAAAGGGAAAGGGAAAAAGGTTGGTGAGTTGTGAATGAAATATAACTAGATTTCATCAACATTTCACACATCTTTTCTGTTTTCCTTCCTAAATCCCTCTCCAAATCCATGAACCAAACACAACCAAGGGAATATATTCTTAAACTATATGAACCAAACTTGGGGTTGAATCAAATTTAAGAGTGGAACTGCTCGAGCCTTAAAGCAAATTTAAATGTCTATTTGAATCAAATTTAATTGATCTTTTAGACTATTCAAATCAAATTTAAATGACTTAAAAGAGATGATGAGACTTAAGAGAATTGTTCGAGCCTTAAAGCAGACCTGTACTATAGGGATTTATATGAAATTATTTACTCTTTTGTTGATTATCATTTAAACTTACTGATTTCTGCTTTGGATAGATGATTGATAATAAGGAATTTATGCTTACTTGAGCCTTTATTTGTTGTTGCTCATGATGTACCTAATGATCCGTTAGAATTGGACCCTTTAGATGCACAGGTCATATAAGAACAAGACTTTGGCCTTGGATTGTAGTTTGAAGTTTAAAGAGATATCATTTTGTCACCTCAATTTTAAAATTTTACATTTGAATCCCTTAATTTATAAAATTGCTTTACATATTTATTTATTTTTCTTTCTAACTGATCTACAACTTATGGTAGTCAAAAGGTTACTACTATTCTACCTCAGTGATATTTGATTTAACTTCTTTAGATGAAGGTGATGCAATAGGAATGAATCAAAAAGTTTATTTTAAAAATAAAAATTAAAAACTCAGAAAGTCTTAATAAATAGTGACATAAACCAATAACTAAAAAAACGAGTGACACTGTAATATTTCTACTTAGTTTTTCTTATTTTGGGTAGGACTGCCACCAAATCAAAGGACAACTCTTGTAACCTTTAACTTAATTTAATCCCCTTCATAATTGTGGGGGAAAGGTTGAAAAAGAAAGGCGAAATGCCTCTCATGATATAGAGACTATTGGAGCAACCGGCTTGATTCTTGGCTAGTCAAAATGCCTAAAATCCCTCTTTTGCGTTGTCTGTTGGGGTTACTCTTATGCTATGCAGTTTGCCCTACGGTGTTGGAGATGCTTTAACTCTCTCTGTCTCTCTCATTTCAACTTCTCTGTGAAGAGCAGGATCCAAAAGCCCATAAAACACTCACACTTGATGGATCCAAAGTTATTGAGCAACCAGAGGCACACGAGGAACACCACCAACACCATCTGTTCCTCTTTTGTCAATGCGGTACATTCAAACCCAAACTTTCTTCCATAAATACTGCTAATATCTTCATTAACCTTCCACACACACATATGTCCATGTGTGGATGTGAGTATGTATATGTATCTATACGCTTATCGATGATTGTGTATTTGTGTCCTTGTTCGTTGCAGGTGTGTTTGCATGATTGGTGGCTAATTAAGCTTGACATGGACTCCAATGGAAGAACATTAGGTGTTGGAGGACTTGCATTTAGAGAGTAATTTCTAATGATTGAAAGAATTAGGGTTTTTTCAAAATTGAAAAACTCGAGCTGAAAATGTGGAGTTTTCCTACTTATTACTCCTTGAGTGTGTGCTGCTCAAAGAGAAATATGAAATGGAAGGGAAAAAAGATGGATATTGCTAATCAACTTGTTATATATTCTTGTAAATTTGACCATATTAAGATGTGTTATATATATGGTAATACTACAATACACCCTTCAAAAGGGGTGTACCATATGCAAGTCATGACATTTTGTGGTGTTGTGTCATAACCATATCACTTTATGTCATAACTTAAATAGATCATAACCAAACACCTTTGAGGCATGACCAAAGACTTCTTCGGTCATAACCAAAGGTCATAATTGGGGCACATGGTACACACCTTTTTCAAGGTTTGCGTTGTAGAATTTACCTATATATATGTATATATATTTTCCTGATGTTTAACCTTGAAGGTGGCTGCTACTTTCTGAAAGCAATTTCTTCAACTCTTTTAGAGTGAGCAGTGCTCCCTTTCCTCCTCTCTTCCTTTCACAACCTTTCATTTGTGTGGATGAGCAAACCATGTTAATTATCCACACATTTCCCATGGAATGTTCAGGCTGCTTCTACTTTTCAGACTGGTTTCTAGACCTTAGTTTTCTGACCTTGGATCAATTTACACAAACTCATAAATCCTTCTAGAAGTTTCCATAGCTGCTGTTTCTTTTATGATGAGTATTTATTGGATTTTGTACCACAGGAGACAAACGATAAGAGCTTTTTACTCTGTAGCTATTGCCAAGAGGCATGATACAGTCACTCTTGAGACTGCAGATGGCATCACAATTACAATTACTAGCTTCATAAATAGGTCTATCACACTTGAAAATGGCTTTCCAGCTGAGGTAAGCAATCTTTTTTTCACTTTTTTGTTTCATATTTTAACACTAAATGTGATTACCTATATCCACATCATAATATATTCATGGACATTATGAAGTTGGTTCTTCAATTTTAACGTTGCTGAAGAAATGCATTGCACAACTAGTGGTCAGTAAAAAATGGATACTGATGTTAAAAAGCATTTTCGCACTACCCCCGCCTCCAGCACTCTTTTTTTGGTTGTGAATAATAGCAATTGCAGATTTGTGTGATAGTAGGGTTTATGTACATGGAGAATATGAACACCAAGAAAATAACCATCATTTAGCAATGAAATCTATATGTAAGAAGAAAAATTGCTAATTAAGTACTATGGTACAAAGTTTGCTTCCCTCCTGCTCTGCCCCGCCCCCAAACTTCCAATTCTCAGTGGAGTCCAAATTTGACCCATGATTTGAACAGGTTTGCAATCATTTCCTTTTTGGATTTCCATGTTACTGGGAAGAGTATGCTGGTCGATGTTTCGTTGAAGAATCTATCAACAGATCGATTCCATCCAGGATTTCTAGCTTTGATGGATTCGACATGTCTTCAGATGATGGTACAGACTCCCTACCAATTTCCTTGGGTGATCTTCCAGTGACACGTGTACGTGATCTCTTAATGTCCAGTGTTGGAGATTCTGGCAATTGTGTGCTAGCAAAGAGTCTTTTGAATGATATCCTGCGAAAATATGGAAGTAATGATTTTAAACATGATGGGCCAGCAGTTCAATCGAACATGCAAAGTAATTGTCCAGGGATGACTATGGATTCTGTACTGGGTGGAACTCCTTGTAATTCTAACAGAACTATGGGTAAGCAGAAGAGAGAAGACAATAATGGCAGTAATCCATTAATGACTGGGGATTCTGTGTGTGATGGAACTCCAAAAAATCAAAACAAAACTGAGGTTGATCCGAAGGTCAAAGAAGATGATAAGGGAATAGAAGAATCTGAGAATGTAATTCCTGATTGTGAAATGGGTTTGGATGTCAATAGCAGTAGAAGGGTTACCACAAGAAGCATGGCTAGATTGAATAATTCAAGTAACAAGCGGAAAAGGAATCTTTCACTGAATACTCGTGTTACTTGTAGACTTACTGAACCGTTTTCTGCATCAGAGACCTCTGGGGACCAATGTGGACAGGTGGTAAATAGAGGAAATGCTTCAAGAGAGAGTTGTCCTACCATATTATTGTCTGATGCAGAAATAGAAGCTAAAGAAACTCCTGATAATTCTACTTCCAGAAGACCTAGCAGTCTAAAAAGCTCAAGTGATCTATTTTCTACAACAGAGGCCTCTAAGAATCAATGTGGAGTGATACCTAGAAGAAATGGTTCAAATTTAACTAGAAACGAGATGGAACTTAAGCAAATCACTGATAAATCTGCAGTCAGAAGATCAAATAGACTGAGAAACATAAACAAATGATTGGAAAGGACTGAAATTAGAAGGAAGCGGGATTGGTTTGATGGAACTTGTTCGTGGAAACAAGGATTTTGATTTCTTTAATTGCAAGGGTTTCGATAAACTAGGCTCATGTTCACTCATTATTGCTTGTTTAGTGTTGATGGGAAGTTTGCTTTCATATTTTTCAGTTTTTAAGAATAGCAAAACTTATCTTGTTGGCTAAAACAAAACGGTTTACTTCTTACCCTAGTTCATAAGGGTGCCCAATCTGGATTTGGAGAGAGAGTTGTAACTTGTAAGGGCGCCCTAATTCCTAAGGGCACCTAATCTGTGCAGGTCAGTGATAACGTAAGTCACATGCAACAGAGTAACTCATATCCCTAGCTGTTAAACATTTGTGATTCTACAACTTGAAGGCTAGAGTTGTATTTTCTCTGCTAAGAATAGAAATCACTGAAGTGCTGTAAAAGCTGGTCCCTTCTGTATCTTCTTATTGCTCTATTGTTACAGGGTATATCATTTTAGAACCTTTTCAAAGTGTGATTGTCAAAATATGTTTAAACCCAAGTTTTGTGGAAGGTTGAGGCATTACAAGTTTCATATATTAGTCAAAGGCTCTTTTTTGTAATTATGATTTTTTCAACTAGGCAATGATCTTCATTTGATTCTATGTATGGCTTTATTTGAAGCATCTTGGTAAATAGAAATATGTGAGGCCGTGCATGTGACGTTCCAAATAATATAATAGAAGGTTGGATCATCCTTTATAATTATTATGTTGTGTTTGGTTGAGAGATTTGCGAAAGAATTTGAAAAGAGAGGGAAAATATATGTGAAACTAGGAGAAATATAAACATATTTTATTCACATTTCACTTACCTTTTATTTTTTCCTTTCTAAATCTTTTTCTAAATCCCCAATCAAATACAACGTTAAGGTTTTTGAAATGAAATGTCAACTTTGAGTTGTAATGTCTAATGGCAATTATGGTTGATTCAATCTTAGTTTAAAAATCGATGATATTCTTTACAGTTTAGAATAAAATCCTAAATTGGTTAAACAGATGTTTCGTTGTGATTATTTATTTCATATTCTTTTGTGTCATTTTTGTGTTTTTTGTAATTTTTGGCGGGGTTGTAATTTTTTAGTATCATCCATCTTTATTTTTTTTTTTTGCCTCTTTAATAATTCAAACGATACTATCTTACTCCATTGATCCCAATGAAAGGGGTGTTTCGTGTCATTTCATTTTAATACTCAAAATTAATACTGGCTAAATTGATTGATGAAATTAGGGGCATTTTGAACAAAAAGTTTTGGTTTTCTATCATTTTCTAAAAATTAAATTTTTTTTTTCCATATTTTTTTTGTTTGGTGAATTTTTTTTAGTATTTTTAAGCAAGTTTCTTACTTTTTAAATGCACCTAAAAAATAAAATAATTATGAAAAAATAGATTAAAAATTTAATAAATACACCGGAATTTTAAAATGTATTAAATTTTTATATTTTTTTGTATTTTCTTAAATACGCCTAATCTAGAAACACTTTTTAGATGCATTTAAAAAATAAAAAAACTTGCTTAAAAATATTAAAAAAATTCACTAAACAGAAAAAAAAAAAAAAAATCAACTCTTAGAAAATCAATTAAAACCAAATTGAAGGGGTCTCTCAGTGCCTATGTAATTAAAAATAAATAAATAGATGGAAAGTGTTTGGGTATGTAAGGTGCATACCATATATTTTTTGCGTAACTTCTCATAAATATAAATAAGTTACTTTACAAAATCGCGTAAATTCTTACAAATATACTTAATAAGTTGTGATTTCTCAAATTTTTATGAGTTAACTTATGTATGTTCATGAAAATTTAAACAATTTTTTAAGATAGCTTACGTATATTTGTGAGAATTTATACAAGTGCATATGATATATACACTTGCATACTTAAAAATTGCCCTAAATGGGGAGATACAAACTAAATGATAAATTTTGTTCGAAATTAGTGGTGGCAAACCAATGAATTTGGATGGGTTAAAATGAGTTACGCATTAAAATTAATTTTATCCAAATTCGTTAATTAGGGGTTGTTTGGAAGATTAATATATTTTTTGATTTTTTATATAAAAAAAAATGTGAAATATGGATTGGAATTGAAGTGATGTGATAGAGAGGTAATGTGACCCAAATAAGATAATGTGCTAAAATAATATTTGTTATTTTAGCACATGCCAAACAAGTTCTTGATAAACTAGTTTAAACAGATTGGATTGAATTTGGTACAAGTTAAACAAATCAATTTAATCAATCTATTTATTTTATTAAATGAGTTGAACAAATAAATTCAATGAACTCGTTTATTTTATTAAATTCTTTTTTCAATGGATGATGAGGGTGGTGGTTGAAAATTATGATTTGTTAAGACATTTCTAAATAGTTATAAACTGAAGAGGAGGTTTTGAGTAGGCAATTTTCTTTCAATTTTCACTTTCCATGTGCATGTGTATACATACATATATATATATATATATATATAAACTAGTAGTGGCTGCAACTTAACTTTATATATATATACTATCACACCTTCCCTAGCTGCGTGAGATTGATTTTCATCAACACTCCATACATGGAGATTCTCTAGCTGATTGGTACAAGGATCCTAGAATGAGTCATGTTAATGAATGTTTCAGGAATAAGATGTAAGTTTTTAATGTTTACATGAATTGCATTATCCTGAGAATGTCAAATCTGCTATAATAAAAATCTATATTTCAGTTTCTAATCCTGTATTTTTTATTTACCTTTCTATATCTTATCAAATTTCTTCTACAGTACCAAACATTCTATGCATAAAACAAGCCATGAGTGGGGACAGAGGACATCTGGTCATGTTCCTGTCTCTCAAACTCTGCTATCTGTTGATGGTGCTTCAAAGGTATTTTATAAAAGTAAAGAAAAATAACAGGTTATTTTCTTTTGTTAGGTACTAATTTGCTTTGCTTAGACAAAAGGGGGATCTATACGGTAGTGGTTCAAATGCGAAGATTCATTTGCGTGGAAGAGATGTTACCTTGTACTGAGGGGGAAACGGGCCGGCATCTTGTAGATCTGGTCAGCAATGGTGCAGATCTGGGCAATGGATGGTTCGATAGCCGTTGGTTACTGTTGTCACACGATCGAGTCGAGGTCAGACTTTCCCACGGCTGTGGCGGTGCTGCACGGTGAAGGGTGCAACGGATCTCTGGCAGTTGCTGGTGTGAGCGTGATGGAGTGGACTTGATTCTCCAATTGGGGGACTGTGTTGGTTGTTCAATGACGAATACAGGTTGGAGAAAGAAAGGGGAACTTTGGGTGAGAGGATATATTATTGTGATATATCTGTGTTAGAGGAAAGAATACAAAGCAGGGGTAAAATTGTATTTTTACCCTCTGCAGATTCAGACACAAATGAGTTGTCAATTTTGAACTTCACAAATTGTTTTGAAAGCCCAAACGGGGTGTAGCTAATTTTTTATTTATTTTTTTAACAATTTCACAAATTCAATCTATGAATATTGCATGTGGTTTATTCATTTATGTGGTACTGGCATGTGGTTCATTTTTCATAGTCCATGTTCATAGGTTGTTCTGCTATGCATTACTATTTTATGAAAATATAATTTGACCAAGCCTTTCCATCGATAGCTAAATACGAAATTCATGAATAACGATGACGATTTCACATGTTTAGTGACATTAATTGTGCTTTTATTGTTACTAGTTGGACCTCTACGCGTGACGTCCAAATTTTTAATTTAATACTGTGTTAATATCAACTAATTTAGATATATATAATAATTAGTAAATAAATAAAATGTCTTATTAAAAGTGCAAAGTGGTTTAAAAAGTTATACATTGAATGATTAAATTGTTAAGGAAATAGATTGTGAGACACCACATGTTTAGAATATTAAATATTTCAGTAAGTGGTAAGTGATGTTTTATAGGTAGGTGGTGAGGTTTTTAGACATGAACCTAACATATAATCATAGGTAACTTTAGGAATCATAACCTTTAGAATTGAATTAAAATAATACCCAAAAAAAAAATAGCCAAACAAGTTTTCAGTGGACCAAGGGTTAATATGGCCCTTGGTGATTTCTTGAGGTTGAATTAAAGGCCAAGGACAGGTGGCAATAGCGGAGGTCAAACTCAAGGGTCAAGACAGGTGGCAAAAGAGAAGGCAGCAACGTGTATATCTCTTGGTTTGGGGCCTTACTCTTGGGTTAGTATAAATAGAAGGGGCTGATGTAGAATGAAGGAGAAAGCAAAAAAAAGTGAGAAGAGTAAAGAGCATAGGTTCGGGAGCACAGGAAAAATAGGGATAAATTTATATCGTAGGTGAGTTATATTATACCTTGAGTTACCGTAATATGTTTTATATATATCTTGAGTTACCATAATCTATTTTATGAATGTTTTGAGTTATCACAATATATTTTATGTAAGTTATGTTTTATGGTTAGGTTAATGTTTCAATTACGTAGATTATTTTCTGAACTCTATTTACTTAAATTGAAACCCATGGATATGTTGTTTAAATTTAAGAAATTATTTGACAATGATTTGATAAGTAATTATCTTCTGTAAATTCTACCATGGGAGTCCCACGCCTTGGGACACTTAAATATACCATTGACTTCTGTTTGGCCACCTTGTAGTTCTCTGTTTGTCGTGGATCCATTGACCTTTGTTCTATTTGTCACTCCAGTGACTTTTGTTCTGTTCTATTCTATACCGTGGTTATGGTTATTTACATAATTTTCGTATTTCTGTTTTTGCCACTTAAATAATTTGTTTATTCAAACTAAGTTATATTAACGTTTTAGCTTTAAACAAAAAACTTTCCATGGTTATTTTGTGCCTCTATACTCACAGTATAATATTTCTCACTCTGCTATGTGCTTATAACTGTTACCCTTTTCAGGTGATGAGATTTAGCGGGATCAAGATGGGAAATAAATTGCAGTTTTTTTTATTTTTTATTTTTTATTTACTATCTGTATTTCTGATTGGACTCATGTAATAAAATAAACAGCCCAAATGACTATTTTCCATTTTAATAAACTTTTGGTAACCCATTTATTTTATTTTATTTTATTTAATTTATCCGTTGCGCTACTACCACAGAAATTTTAAAATTATTTTATTTTTATCTTATTGCGACGCCGAACCTTTGGGTACTGGGTTTGGGTCGTGACATCTCTTGTCCAGTCTTATTTGGAAGTATATGTTCAAAGATAGATGCATTCTGAGATTCAATAATAGTATTTACATGCATTTCGGGATGTTCTGATTTATGAATCAAAAATTGATATACACTACTATTCTTGGCATAATCAATGAAAATGCAATTAACAATTTTAGGACCTATCTTAGTTTTTTTAGGATTAGGAATAGCCACTTTAGCCAAACACCCTATACTTTTAAGTATTTGTAAGTTGGTACTCTTCCATGCCACATTTCATAAGGTGTTTGATTCACTTTCTTTCGAGGTACTTTATTGAAATATATAATGAGCAGAAAATATTGCTTCCCCCCACGAGTTCTGACGTGATCCAAAACTTATTAACATGACATTCATCATTTCTTTTAAAGTCTTATTTTTCCTTTCAGTAATTCCATTTTGCTGAGGTGAGTAAGGAGCGGTGGTTTGATGAATTATTCCATGTTCTTTACAAAACTCATTCTTAGATTCAATGAAAGTTTCCAAAGCTTCATCATTAGTTCGAATTAAATGAATATAACTATATCTAGTATAGTCATCTATGAAAGTGATAAAATATTTTTTTGTACCTTTAGTTTGAATTGATTTAAAATCACAAATGTCACTATGATTTAATTCAAGTGGTTCTGAACTTCTTTCAATTGAATGAAAATGAGTTTTGGTTAATTTTGCCTAAACATAAATTTCACATTTATGATTTGGATCAATTTCAAATTTAGGTAAACATTCCATATTAATCAATCTACACAAAGATTCATAATTAACATGTCCTAATCTACCATGCTATAAATTTGAAGACTCAAACAAGTAAGAAGAAGATGTATT